ACCATCCTGGTCAACAAGGTGAAACCCCGTTTCTACTAAAAATACAAAAATTAGCTGGGCATGGTGGCGCATGCCTGTAGTCCCAGCTACACAGGAGGCTGAGGCAGGAGAATTGCTTGAACCCAGGAGGTGGAGGTTGCAGTGATCTGAGATTGTTCCATTGCACTCCAGCCTGGGTAACAAGAGTGAAACTCTGTCTCAAAAAAAAAAAATAAATAAATAAATAAATAAAATTAAAAAAAAAGGATACACCCTGATTGCAAACACATTGGTGTCTTTCTAGAGAGAATATATGAGTGAGAATACGAACTTGAAATTCATGGCATCTTTTGTAGGAGTATGGACATCTATATGGCAAATAATAAAGACAAGTAGGCCGGACGAGGTAGCTCATGCCTATAATCCCAGCACTTTGGGAGGCCAAGGCGGGTGGATCACCTGAGGTCGGGAGTTCAAGACCAGCCTGACCAACACTGGTGAAACCCCATTTTATATTTAAAAAAAAATCTATTTATATATATATGAGCTACAATAAGAAAAGGATGCCCTCTCTCTTCAGTCTTACTAAACATTGGACTAAGTTAGCTGGGTCAAGTCTGTAGTCCCAGCTACTCAGAAGGCTAAAGCAGGAGACTCACTTGAACCTGGGAGGTGGAGGTAGCAGTGAGCCAAGATAGCGAGACTGCACTCCAGCCTGACAACAGAGTGAGACTCAGTGTCAAAAAAAGATATATTGACAAGCAAATTTTCCAGTTAAAACCAATGTTTTAAGTGCATTAAAAATACAAACTTTCTCACCAAAACCTACAAAGCAGCATGTGAAACGACACGGCATAAAAACAGTGAGAAAACTGTAGCCATTAAACAGAAAGAAAAGAAAGCCTGTGACATTATTCATAGTTGGAAAACACATAAGACAAACAAAACAACATAATTAGAAAATAAAATAACCAGAATTTTGCTTTATATTCAGCAAGATTCAGGTTTGCTTCCTAAAAACAGGTCCTCTCCACATAAACAATCCGTATTTTTTCTTAATCATTGATATTTTATGTCTCTGACTTAAAGTTACAAACTGACTCTAACAGGAATATTTACGGATTATAAACCATCTGTTACTCAGCAAGCACTGTCTTTTTTTTTGCTACGTTTATATATTAAAACATCCTCATGACTTATGAAGACTTCTTAGCAGTTACCTGAACTGGCTCAATCAACAAATAAATTTACCTCTGTCAATTATAAAAAGCTAAAGGTACAACTAAAGAAAAGTAGGCTTACATATACGGTTCTTCAATTAAAAGAACAAAATGGAGGCCGGGCGCGGTGGCCCAAGCCTGTAATCCCAGCACTTTGGGAGGCCGAGGCGGGTGGATCATGAGGTCGAGAGATCGAGACCAACCTGGTCAACATGGTGAAACCCCGTCTCTACTAAAATACAAAAAATTAGCTGGGCATGGTGGTGCGTGCCTGTAATCCTGGCTACTCAGGAGGCTGAGGCAGGAGAATTGCCTGAACCCAGGAGGCGGAGGTTGCAGTGAGCCGAGATCGCGCCATTGCACTCCAGGCTGGGTAACAAGAGTGAAACTCCATCTCAAGAAAAAAAAAAAAAAAAAAAAGAACAAAATGGAATGTTCTAATTCGATAAAATATAACTACATTAATTGTGGAATTACATCTAAAAATTATTGTATGCACTAAATTTTATAATTATATAATCTTTGAGCACTTCACATAATTAAAACCTCATAAAGTATAAAAGAAAAAAATTATAAGAAACAAAAAATGTAGGTTTAGCATGAGTATCATGTAAGTAAAAAGAAATTCGCATCAAGAGATTTTGAACCATAAGCCATAATATTTTACAGTAATTAATCCAGTAGAAAGGAAAGAGTAGGCCGGGCATGGTGGCTCACGCCTATAATCCCAGCACTTTGGGAGGCCGAAGTGGGTGGATCACGAGGTCAAGAGATCCAGACCATCCTGGTCAACAAGGTGAAACCCCGTCTCTATTAAAAATACAAAAATTAGCTGGGTATGGTGGTGCCCGCCTGTAGTCCCAGCTACTCGGGAGGCTCAGGCAGGAGAATTGCTTAAACCCAGGAGGCGGAGGTTGCGGTGAGCGGAGATCCTGCCATTGCACTCTAGTCTGGGTAACAACAGCAAAACTCAAAAAAAAAAAAAAAAGAAAGAAAAGAAAAAAGAGTATAGGCCAGGCTCGTTGGCTCATGCCTGTAATCCCAGCACTTTGGGAGGCCAAGAAAGGTGGATCACTTGAGGTCAGGAGTTCGAAACCAACATGGCGAAACCCCGTCTTTACTTAAGATACAAAATTAGCCAGGCATGGTGGTGCATGCCTGTAATCCCAGCTCCTGGGGAGGCTGAGGCAGGCGAATCACTTGATCCTGGGAGGCGGAGGTAGTAGTGAGCCAAGATCATGCCACTGCACTCCAGCCTGAGCAACAAGAGCAAAATTCTCCATTTCCAAAAAAAAAAAAAAAGGAAGCGTGTAGATTTGCTTTCAGCATTTTTTAGGTTTATACTTTCCTAGTAAATTACTCACCTTACTAAAATGATTTGTTTTGTTCCAACCCTGCTTTTTTCTTCTGAAAATAGGTACAAATTTATACTCATACAAACATGCTTACTGACTCCAAAATTTTCTTTTTTTCTTTTTGAGACGGAGTTTCGCTCTTGTTACCCAGGCTGGAGTGCAATGGCATGATCTCTGCTCACTGCAACTTCCGCCTTCTGGGTTCAAGCAATTCTCCTGCCTCAGCCTCCCGAGTAGCTGGGACTACAGGTGCACACCACCATGCCCAGCTAATTTTTTTTGTATTTTTAGTAGAGACAAAGTTTCACCTTTTTGACCAGGATGGTCTCGATCTGTTGACCTTGTGATCCACCCCCCTCGGCTCCCAAAGTGCTGGGATTATAGGCGTGAGCCACCGCACCCAGCCTTAAAATTTTAAGAATATACATTTTATTACATAACAGTACAACTAGTAAAGTGACATACTACTAATTTCAACTAAAATTTAAAATGCTTTTTGTGGCCAGGCACGGTGGCTCACATCTGTAATCCCAGCACTTTGGGAGGCCGAGGCTGGTGGATCATGAGGTCAGGAGTTTGAGGCCAGCCTAACCAATGTGGTGAAACCCCAGCTTTACTAAAAATACAAAAATTAGCTGGGCGTAGTGGCGCACACCTGTAATCCCAACTACTCAGGAGGCTGAGGCTGGAGAATTCTTTGAACCCTGGAAGGTGGATGGAGGTTGCAGTGAGGCAAGATTGCACCACTGCACTCCAGTCTGGATGACAGAGAGAGACTTCATCTCAAAAAAACAAATAAAAATAAAATGCTTGATTCTCACTATAATGCAGAATATTATTCTGAACACCTACCTCAGGCACCACCTGTTAAAAACAGCCTCTCAACTTAGATATTTATCATTTGCCTTACATTTTAATGCCCTTACCCTTCCATATAAAAGATCATATCGAATGCCCTCCTAATTTTAAAGTCTCATACAACAGGAATGAAAAGGATGAAGCAATTTGACAGTTGAAATTATGACATTATTCATGTTACAAATCTTTTTTTTAAGGTATATATATACATATAATTTTTTTTTATATGACGTTTTCCTCTTGTTGCCCAGTCTAGAGTGCAATGCCATGATCTCGGCTTACCACAATCTCTACCTCCTGGACTGAATTGATTCTCCTGCCTCAGCCTCCCAAGTAGCTGGCTTACAGGTGTGTGCCACCACGCGCAGCTAATTTTGTATTTTTAGTAGAGATGGGGTTTCTCCATTTTGATCAGGCTGGTCTTTAACTCCTCACCTCAGGTGATCCGCCTTTCTCAGCCTCTCAAAGTGCTGGGATTACAGTTGTGAGCCACCATGCTAAAAGTGTACTTTGAATGTAATTATAACTTTTCAAAAACTTTTTGCATCTTTTGCAGTCATATACAAATGATTTATCTAACAACTTTAGCTCTGGATTTTTTTTTTATACTCACCACTCTGTTTGAGTGTAATCTCTCAGTCAGTGCCTTAGATAGTTTTACTGCAAGTGATCTGATATTTACATAATCTTGGTATTAAAATAGTTATATGTTTACTGCATCTTCAAATATATATATATGTGTGTGTGTGTATATATATATATATTTTTTTATTTTTTTAAGACAGAGTTTCGCTCTTGTCACCCAGGTGGGAGTGCAATGGTACAATCTTGGCTCACTGCTCCCAGGTTCAAGCGATTCTCCTGCCTCAGCCTCCTGAATAGCTGGGAATACATTACAGGCACCAGCCACCATGCCTACCAGGCTAGTCTCCAACTCTTGACCTGAGGTGATTTACCTGCCTCGGCCTCCCAAAGTGCTCTGGCCTGCAAAAACATATTTTAGTATAAACTCTCTTGTGCTTTCTAAGCTATAGGTTTTGAAATGTAGGTTTTTCCAAATTTATTACATTTGCAGAGTTTTTCTCCAATACAGAATGCCTGATGTTGAACAAAGTTTGAGCAACTGCTTCAGGGTTTTCCTCTAGTACAAAATGTGCGTGATAACATCTGTGATACACAAAATGTACTAAAGCCTTCTTTATGTTTGTAATATTTGTCTTCAAAAGGAATACGCTTAGCTTTAAAGGCTTATGTTTTTCTTTTGGACAGTAATTGCATTTATTATGCTTTTATTAAGTGCCAACATTCTGATATTAAGATGTGAGCAGATATTAATGGCTATTCCATATCCTTTGTATTTGTACAATTTCTCTCAAGTATAAATGTTTTGTGCAATAAGATTTGGTCATTAACAGTATTGCCAAATACTTCACACTTAGTTTTCTCCAGTATGAATTATCTTATATACAATCAAGTGTGAAAACTATTTAAAGTCTTTGACACATTCTTTACATTTCTAGTATTTTTTTACCTGTATGACTTTCTTTATATTTAGAAAAGCTTAAGTTGTTGTCAAAATCATTGTCACATCTTTCAGTTTTCTGGATTTTCTCTCCAATATGAATTTTTTTATGTCTAGCAAGGTTCTCAGATCGGTTAAAAGCTTTGTCACATCTCTCACATTTATAGGGTTTCTCTCCGGTATGAACTATCTTATGTTTAGTAAGTTTTGAGGATCGGTTAAAAGCTTTGCCACATTCTTTACATTTGTAGGGTTTCTCTTCAGTATGAATTTTCTTATGTTCAATAAAATTTGAGGATCGGTGAAAAGCTTTGCCACATTCTTCACATTTGTAGGGTTTCTCTCCGGTATGAATTCTCTTATGTGTAGTAAGGGAGTGGGAGTGATTAAAAGCTTTGCCACATTCTTTACATTTGTAGGGTTTCTCTCCGGTATGAATTATCTTATGTGCAGTAAGAATTGAGGGTCGGGTAAAAGCTTTGCCACATTCTTCACAGATGTAGGGTAGCTCTCCAGTATGAACTCTCTTATGTGTAGTAAGAGTTGAGAAATGATTAAAGGCTTTGCCACATTCTTCACATTTGTAGATTTTCTCTCCTGTATGAATTTTCTTATGTGTATTAAGAGTTGAGAACTGATTAAAAGCTTTGCCACATTTTTCACAGACGTAGGGTTGCTCTCCGGTATGAATTCTCTGATGTTTAGTAAGAGTTGAGGATTTGGTAAAAGCTTTGCCACATTCTTCACATTTGTAGGGTTTCTCTCCTGTATGAATTCTCTTATGTGTAATAAGAGTTGAGGATTGGGTAAAAGCTTTGCCACATTCTTCACATTTGTAGAGGTTCTCTCCAGTATGAATTCTCTTATGTGTAGTAAGGGATGTGGACTGATTAAAAGCTTTGCCACATTTCTCACATTTGTAGGGTTTCATTCCAGTATGAAGTTTCTTATGTTCAGAACGTTTTGAGGATCGGTAAAAAGCTTTTCCACACTCTTCACATTTGTAGGGTTTCTCACCAGTATGAATTCTTTTATGTGTAGTAAGGGCTGAGGAGTGTTTAAAAGCTTTACCACATTCTTTACATTTGTAGGGTTTCTCTTCAGTATGAATTTTCTTATGTTCAGTAAAATTTGAGGATCGTTTAAAAGCTTTGCCACATTCCTCACATTTGTAGGGTTGCTCTCCAGTATGAATGTTTTTATGTTCAGTAAGATTTGAGAATCGGTTAAATGATTTGCCACATGCTTCACATATGTAGGGTTTCTCTCCTGTATGAATTCTCTTATGTGTAGTAAGGGAGTGGGAGTGTTTAAAAGCGTTGCCACATTCTTCACATTTGTAGGGTTTCTCACCAGTATGAATTCTTTTATGTGTACTAAGGGCTGAGGATTGTTTAAAAGCTTTGCCACATTCTTTACATTTGTAGGGTTTATCTTCGGTATGAATTATCTTATGTGTAGTAAGGGCTGAGGATTGTTTAAAAGCTTTACCACATTCTTCACAGATGTAGGGTAGCTCTCCAGTATGAATTCTCTTATGTGTAGTAAGAGTTGAGAAATGATTAAAAGCTTTGCCACATTCTTCACATTTATAGGGTTTCTCTCCTGTATGAATTCTCTTATGTGTAGTAAGGCGTGAAAACCACTTAAAGGCTTTGCCACATTCTTCACATTTGTATGATTTTTCTCGAGTATAGTTTTTTTTATATGCAGTAAGCTTTGAGAATTGGGTAAAAGCTTTGTCACATTCTTGACATTTGTAGAGTTTCTTACAAGTATAAATTCTCTTCTGTGTAGTAAGCTTTGAAGATTGGTTAAAAGCTTTTTCACATTCTTCACATTTGCAGAAATTCATTCTAGTATAAATTCTTTTATGTTGAGTTAGGCGTGAAAGCATGCAAAATGATTTGCCACATTCTTTACATTTGAAATGTTTATTTTCCATATGTTTGATCTTATGTCTATCTGCATGTGAAAATTTATGAAAGACTCGCACATATTTATCACACGGAAACATCTTGCTCTGGGTAGTTGGTAAACATTGGTTAAGTCCATTAAAACCTCCTTTGTGGACCTTACACTCAGCCACACTTTTGCAGCCGTTTAATTGAAAATTCTCATTTCCACATTGTTCATATCTTCTCAGTGTCATGTTTTGAGAAGAATCTTTTATGTTCTGCTCTGGCCAAAACTCTTGGGCAAAATGAGAACACATTACTGAAAGAAATAAAAATAACACATTACTTTACAGACTCAGATAAACAGACTTTCCAAATATAATTTATAAAATTACACAAACAACACAAGCAAGATGACACCGCAGGCCGTAATTAAGTGAGTGCATTGCCCCAGGTGAGTACAATGTAAAGAGCCACACAGAAGAAAAGAAATTCTGTCACATTTATCCAATACAGCTTTTTCTACTTCCCAACATAACATAATGGTTTTAGAAGTAAATTGCCAACTTTACTTCATACAATTATTTACTTTATTTTATTTTATTTTTTTTGAGATGGAGTTTTGCTCTTCTTACCCAGGCTGGAGTGCAATGGCGGAATCTCGGCACATGGCAACCTCTGCCTCCTGGGTTCAGGCAGTTCTCCTGCCTCAGCCTCCTGAGTAGCTGGGATTACAGCCATGCACCACTATGCCAGATAATTTTTTGTATTTTTAGTAGAGACGGGGTTTCAGCATGTTGACCAGGATGGTCTTGATCTCTTCACTTTGTGATCCACCCGCCTCGGCCTCCCAAAGTGCTGGTATTACAGGCATGAGCCACCGCCAGGCCAGTTTTTTTTTTTGAGACGGAGTTTCGTGGTTGCTACCCAGTCTGGAATGCAATGGCACAGTCTCGGATAACCGCAACCTCCGCCTCCTGGGTTCACATAATTCTCCTGCCTCAGCCTCTCGAGTAGCTGGGATTACAGGCGTGCACCACCATGTGCAGCTAATTTTTGTATTTTTAGTAGAGATGAGGCCTCACGTTGGTGACCAGGATGGTCTCGATCTCTTGACCTGGTGATCCACCCGCCTCGACCTTCCAAAGTGCTGGGATTATAGGTATGAGCCACCGCGCCAGGCTTGTTTTTTAAGTGAACCAGCTCTTACTTAAATTACCAACGTACTTATTGATTAACAAGAGAATGGTGTCAAGCCATTTATGAGGAATTTGCCCTCAAGACCTAAGCACCTCCCAGCAGATCCTACATTCACCTCCCACAAGGTCCCCAACCAACAACGATGATTACATTGCAGCATGAGGTTTAGAGAGCACAGACATCTAAGCCATATCACACACCAAATAGGCTTAACAGACCTGCACAAATGTTTTCAATCAAAAGTAACAGAATACACAATATTTTTATTTGCACCTGGTGTATTCTGTTAAAACACATAAGTCTTACTAGATTTTGGAATACTGGCTGGGTGCAATGGCTGATGCCTATTACCTCAACACTTTGGAACCCAGGTAGATTACATGGGACCAGAAACTTGACATCAGCCTGGGCAACATAGCGAGATTCTGTGTCTACAAATAATTGAAAAATTAGCCAAGCATGGTAGTGCAGTCTGTAGTGCAGGTTACTTAAGAGACTGAGGTAAAAGGACCACTTGAGCCCGGGAGGTTATTATGGCTGCCATAATAACCAAAGTGAGCCAAAGAATGCCACTGCATTCCAGCCTCAGTGACTCAGTAGGATCTTCTCTCAAACAACAAAAGTAAATACATTTAGAGAGACCAAAATTATAAACATTTTCTGACCATGACGGAATAAAATAAAAAATTAAAAGCTAAAGTAAAACTGGCAAATCCAAAAAACATATGAAAATAAAACAGTCTTTCACATATTCTTGGCTCAAGGGCCAAAACACTTAATTTTTCTTTTCTTTTTTTCTTTTCCGATGGAGTTTCACTCTTGTTACCCAGGCTTGAGTGCAATGCCTAAATCTCTACTCAATGCAACCTCCACCGCCTGGGTTCAAGCAATTCTCCTGCCTCAGCTTCCCGAGTAGCTGAAACTACAGGTGTGCACCATCATGCCCAACTAATTTTTGTATTTTTAGTAGAGACGAGGTTTCGCCATGTTGACCGGGATGGTCTCGATCTCTTGACCTCGTGATCCAACCACCTCGGCCTCCAAAAGTGCTGGGATGACAGACATCAGCCACCGCGCCTGGCAGCACTTAATTTTTCAAAGATTTCAATGCAGCCAAATGTGGTGAACCGATTCAACATAATCTCTACAAAAATCCCATTAGCGATGACTCATGAGTATAATCCTATCACTTTGGGAGGCTGAGTTGGGCAGATCACCTGAGGTCAGGAGTTTGAGACCAGTCTAGTTAACATGGTGAAACCCGTTCTCTACTAAATATAAAAAAATTAGCTGTGTGTGGTGGCACGTGTCTGTAGTCCCAGCTACACCGGGGGCTGAGGCAGGAGAATTATTTGAACCCAGGAGGTGAAGGCTGCAGTGAGTGAGACTGTGCCACTGCACTCCAGCCTAGGCCACCGAAAAAAAAATGTTATACACACATAGACACACACTGGAATATTATTTACCTTTAAATAAATCTTGTTACATTTTAAGATCAACTTTGAGAATATTATGCCACATGAAGCCAGTAATAAAATGATGGCTAGTATACGATTCCACTTATATGACGTATCTTAATTAGTCACATTCATCGAAACCAAAAATATAAGGGTGTTTGTCAAGGGCTGGAGAGAGGATAAAATGTGCAGTTATTACTTAATGGGTATCGAGTTGTAGTTTCACAAGATGAAAAGTTTATGGAAGTCATTTGCATAGCAATATAAATATGCTAAACTTGCCTGAAGTGTCATTTCTTTGAGACAGGTTCTCATTCTATCACCCAAGTTTGAGTAAAGTGGCACAATTATGGCTCACTGTAGCCTCAAACTCTCAGGTTAAAGTAATCATGCACCACCAATCTCCCAAGAAGCTGGGACCACAAGTGCACACCACCATGCCTGGCTATTTTTTTTTTTTTTTTTTTTTTTTTAAGAAAGAGAATCTCTGTACACTTTTTTGGCTAGTGTCATACTTTTGGGCTCAAGTGATTATCCTGTCTTAGCATTTCAAAATCCTGGGATCAAAGATGTGAGTCACTACCATGCCTGGCCATGAAATATAAACTGAAATAGATTTTAGATGGGAAAATATATTGTATGTGGTTTTACAACATTTTGTTTTAAAGATAAATTTCAAAAATACAGACTCATAAATCTTTACTTTCAAATTACAGAAGTGTATCTCTCACATGAAAGAAATATACATTTATAATTAAACACGAGGTGAAAATAAGACTATCTCTATGACTCATAACTTAAACAAGATAAAGCCACCATTGAAAATCAGCTAAGAATACATTCAAGATAAGGCATAATCAAAATTGGGGTCATATTTATAGATAAATACATATAGATATTATGACTGGGATAAACATACGGCTTGCTTATCTCTTAATTAAACCCCACATTGACTTAAAGTACACAACAGAACTTTGCAAATTGTCTAAAATGGTAAAACAAAAACCACAATAAACAGATTTTTTTTTGTACTTTAGGTTCTGGGGTACATGTGCAGATGATGCAGGATTGCTGCCTAGGTACATACATGCCAATGTGGTTTTCTGCTTCCATCTCCCCATCACCCATACTATATCTGCCATTTGTCCCCATGTTATCCCTCCCAAACATCCCACTTCCTGCTGTCCCTCCCCTAGCCTCCACCAACAGACCCCAGTGTGTGATGCTCCCCTCCCTGTGTCCATGTGTTCTCACTGTTCGACACCTGCCTATGAGTGAGAACATGTGGTGTTTGATTTTCTGTTCTTGTGTCAGTTTGCTGAGAATGATGGTTTCCAGATTCATCTACGTCCCTAAGAAATGACACAAACTTATCATTTTTTATGGCTGCATAGTGTTCCATGGTATATCTATGCCACGTTTTCCTTGTTAAGTCTATCATTGATGGGCATTTGGGTTGGTTCCAGGTCTTTGCTATTGTAAACAGTGCTGCTATGAACATATGTGTGCATGTGTCTTTATAACAGAATGATTTATAATCCTTAGGGTATATACCCAGCAATGGGATTGCTGGGTCAAATGGAATTGCTATTTCTAGGTCCTTGAGGAAGCACCACACTGTATTCCACAATGGTTGAACTAGTTTATCTTCTCATCAACAGTGTAAAAGTGTTATTTCTCCACATCCTCTCCAGCATCAATAAACACATTTTAAACTGAAAAAGCACACGAATACAGAATGACAAAACTATTTGATAAGAGAGAAATGTTTACTCATAAAATCTTGCAGGCAACATTGATGTAGCATTAAAAATAATGTGTCTAGGGAACTGTAATATTTGACTGTAACTGTACTCATGGAAGGCAGGCATTCTGAATCCTTGGCATATGCTATATGTCAGTATAATTCCAGAAAAAATGCAGTATTATTATAACCGAAAGATTCTGAGAAACTTTTTTTTTTTTGAGACGGAGTTTCGCACTTGTTACACAGGCTGGAGTGCAATGGCGCGATCTCGGCTCCCCGCAACCTCCGCCTCCTGAATTCAGGCAATTCTCCTGCCTCAGCCTCCTGAGTACCTGGGATTACAGGCACATGCCACCATGCCCAGCTAATTTTTTGTATTTTTAGTAGAGACGGGGTTTCACCATGTTGACCAGGGTGGTCTCATCTCTTGATCTCATGATCCACCTGCCTCGGCCTCTAAAAGTGCTGGGATTACAGGCTTGAGCCACTGCGCCCGGCCTCTGAGAAACTTTTAATAAATAATCATCTAAAAAACTAGAAGGCTTGGCATGGTGGCTTACACCTCTAATCCCACCACTTTGGGAGACTGAGGTGGATGGATCACCTGAAGTCAAGAGTTCAAGACCAGCCTGGCCAATGTGGTGAAACCCCATCTCTTCTCAAAATACAAAAATTAGCCAGATGTGGTAATGAGCACCTGTAATTTCAGCTACTTGGAAGGCTGAGGCAGGAGAATCACTTAACCCAGGAGGCAGAGGTGGCAGTAAGCCGAGATCACGCAATTGCACTCTAGCCTAGGCAACAGGAGCAAAACTTGGTCTCAAGAACAAAACAAGATAATTTTGGGCTGAGTGTGGTGGCTCACACCTGTAATCCCAGAACTTAGGGGGGTCGAGGCAGGTGGATCACCTGAGGTCAGGAGTTCAAGATCAGCCTGGCAAACATGGTAAAACCTGGTCTCTACTGAAAATACAAAAATTATCGGGCGTGGTGGTGAGAGCCCAGAGTCCCAGCTAGGAGGCTGAGGAAGGAGAATCACTTGAACCTGAAAGGCGGAAGTTTCAGTGAGCAGAGATTGCACCACTGCACTACAGGCTGGCCACCAGAACAAGACTCCATCTTAATAAAAAAAAAAACAACAAAAACCAGAGATAATTTTATGTTTTAAATACATGCTATTCTTACACAAAATGAAACTGCTGTAATCCAATTTTAGAAGCAAAAATTAGCCTTACATTGCTAGATATACATATAATGCTAAACATATACCAGTGTTAAATATATAAATATATATATTGCAGAATATGGTTAGAGTGTCTGGTATATAAACCAATATTTGTGAATAAATTATATTATTTAGGTATATATTATTAGGCTGGAAAAAGTGGGTGCAAATCATGGAGTTTTTTTTTTTAAAGCGAGCTCAAATTTGTACGTAACTGTTTTAGTAAATATGGAGCACCTACTAAGTATCTAATTTACTTCGGGTATTACATGTAAATTCTAGCATATTGTTCTAAATTTCTGAATCTAAAATTCCAGACAAATTTGAAATAGAAAATGGAGAATAAAAGTATATAGGAAGAATGAAATCAGTAAGATGGGAGAATAAAAGGTGTCCTATTTTGTTATCCCCTGCACAGCAAGACAATTTGTCAGCCATCCCTGACAAAAATGCCTTTATGAGACAGCCAGGTATCATGGCTCACACCTGCAATGAAAGATACATGGTACATTGAGTTTAGAGAACTGCTTCAGGTTAGGATTTCAAAACCAGCCTGAATTCTGTAGCAAGACTCCATCTCAAAATAAGTGCCTTTGATAGCTTTGAGATCCAGAGAGAGACTTGTGGAACTCTCATACAGCCCAAGATTGAAAAGTCTTTTCAGAAGGCGCGACCTCATTCAGGCCCTGGTGCAAACTACAGGATCCCGTTCCTAACTACAGACTAGGACATGGCCCACCCAACTTGGTCCCACTGAGAAATCTGAGCTTAGAATGTAACCATCCCAATATCCTCCCAGCCAAAGCCTGGGAAAAATCCTGCTTTTTCAGAGGCCGGTGGGAAGATACCCATTTATACCCACGTGGGCAGGCCTGCAGACCTTGGCCTTTACTGTGGTCTCTGAAGCAGTTCAATGACTCAGTTCCAGCTCCCTGAGCCACAGTTTATTATCAGTTCTGCCTACATAGAAACCCACCCAGTAACCTGGAAAGATCCTTTTTGGTACTCGCTGAAAGCCATAATCATCCACATCATGATATAAGGCCCATGATATGCAGACCGAACTGCAGAAACCTGGTCTAGTGTCTGCCCTACAGAACAAAGTCCCCCCACAAAATTCAGTCTGTCTGAAAAATAAAATGGGAATTTAAACTATGCAAGTTTCTTATAACAAGCCAACTAAAAATAGATCCTAGACCAAGCAGTCTTATGACAAAGCTATGACCCCTCTCTACTAAAAACCTACAAGGCATCCCATCACCCTTAGGGTCAAACAAAAGAAGATCTTCACCTTCTGAAACCAGTTTATGAAAACTTGAGCTGGGTGCAGTGGCTCACACCTATAATCCTAGCACTTTGGGAGGCCAAGGCGGATGAATCACGAGGTCAGGAGATCGAGACCATTCTGAGCAACATGGTGAATCCCTGTCTCTACTAAAAATACACACAAAAAAAGCCAGGTGTGGTGGCATACGCCTGTAATCTCAGCTACACAGGAAGCTGAGACAGGAGAATTGCTTGAACCCGGGAGGTGGAGGTTGCAGTAAGCTGAGATCATGACACTGCACTCCAGCCTGGGTGACAGAGTGAGACATCACCTCACCAGGCTGGGCACGGTGGCTGAAGCCTGTAATCCCAGCACTTTGAAAAATTGAGGTGGGTGGATCACGAGGTCAAGAGATCGAGACCATCCTGGTCAACATGTGAAACCCTGTCTCTACTAAAAATACAAAAAATTAGCTGGGCATAGTGGCACGTGCCTGTAATCCCAGATACTCAGGAGGCGGAGGCAGAAGAATTGCCTGAACTCAGGAGGCAAAGGTTGTGATGAGCCGAGATCACGCCATTGCACTTCAGCCTGGGTAACAAGAGCAAAACTCTGTCTCAAAAAAAACAAACCAACAAAAAAACAAAATCAACAGTAACAACAATAACCTTGAGGTGTTTTCCTCTATACACAGATGCCAATGCAAAACTATATTGTGCCCATTGCCAATGCTGCTAGTTTAACGTAACGCTAAAAGTATGTAGCAGATTAGTCAAAAAATGAAAAAGAGCAATTGAAATTAAAGACAAGTATGGTAAAAGTTGCTGGCGGTAGCTCATAATCACATATATAAACACAAACAGTACAATTAAAACTTGTTTAAACTACTAAATATACTCAGTAAATTAGATAAAATATAAAATTAACATACAAGTTAAGGTTCCATAAACTTAAACTATCTGATAAAGCAGAGGAAAAAAATCTTATTTACAACAGCATAAAAATAATACATTTCTGAGAACAAATTTAACCAAGAAGGTACAAAATTTTTACGAGAAATATCTAAATGAAAGACATCAGAAAAGACATAAATTGGCCAGGTGCGGTGGCTCACGCCTATAATCCTAGCACATTGAAAGGCCGAGGAGGGTGGATCACGGGATCAAGAGTTCGAGACCATCCTGGTCAACGAGGTAAAACCCCATCTTTACTAAAAATACAAAATTAGCCAGGTGTAGTGGCACACACCTGTAATCCCAGCTACTCGGGAGGCTGAGGCAGGAGAAATGCTTAAACCCAGCAGGGAGAGTCGCAGTGAAACGAGATTGTGCCACTGCGATGTAGCCTGGGCAACAGAGTGATGCTCTGTCTCAAAACAAAAAAAAGAAAAACACATCAGTTTTCATACATTTCAGATATGATGCAGAAAAATAATTTTAAAAAATAATTTAACATCAAGTTGCTCAAAATTATGCAGATATGTCTGTGTCTCCAAAAAAGTGGAATAAGCATTCAGATTGCAGAGTCTCTTATACACCATGAAGAGGACATTGGTTCTCACTGAAAACTTGAAGGAAGATCACCAAAAAAGTAAATAGAAACCTTAGAGAATTTAAAAGCATACGACAGAAAATGCTCAAATGTGAGAACAAATAAAAAAACTCAGGTTTTCCAGAAACTATTCTCTTTAAAACACAGATTCCCAAATTGCTATTCTAAGAACTGGCTTTCTCTTTGACCTTTGGACCCTCATCTGTGTCCTCTGTTGTATTCACTTTTACTCTCACTTACCTGGGGGTTCATCTGCCATCTCATCTCTCTTCATAATCAAAGGCTCCTTTTCTTGCTCCAGACAGGCGATCAGGTCTGGTTTAGAGACAGCAATACCTGTTCGATTAAAAATAACTAACATGAAACTTGCTCATATTCTCCAATTACCAACCTAGTAATGTGCTCAGAAAAGACGATGCAATAGAATAGTCTAACGTGTAACAGAAATTTTTAAATATTCAGAAAAATATTCTACATTTGTAAGTTCTTAATTTCATTACCCAGTAATACTGAGTCAAAACTTGGTGTTGGCAATTAGATTTTAAGGTGTGGGCAACAATATGTCACTAAATTTCTCAAATTACCACTAATCTAGAGTGAATGACACAGATCAGGTCAGAAATGTGGTAAATTCAGGTCAAGATGAAACATATTAGATAAATTTTTTTCTATTTATACGAATCCTTAAGAGTTTCTCAAAAACAGGGATCTGAAACTCATTTATGCAAAGCATATGTTACCAAAATACATTTTTCCAATAAGAGAAATAAAACCTTTAGGGTATATTAGAAACCATGTGTTGAAATTATCCTTACCCAGGAAGACAAGGTTCCTGTAGTTTTCTAAAATCACATTTTTATATAAATTCCGCTGTGCAGCATCCAGGCATTGCCACTCTTCCAGAGAAAATTCTATGGCCACATCCCTAAATGTCAACAGTCCCTGAAAAACACACACACATAGAAATATATACCAGGTAGCCAACAGAATTTATAATTTGAATCAAGGTAAAACGAGAGAGTAACAAGAACAGGTTCTGACTTATAAGAGTGACAGAAATTATCCAATAAAATAAATCTGTACATAGACATATTTCCTAATGTGTTCTCTAACCCTGAGAAAACAGAGTAGCACAAGAGGCACAACATCTGTGTATATAGAATAATTTCCTAGATAATAACATATGTAATAGACCAAGTGAGGTGGCTCATGCCTTTAACCCCAGCACTTTGAAAGGCCAAGGTGGGCGGATCACCAGAGGTCAGGAGACCATCCTGATCAACAAGGAGAAACCCCATCTCTACTTAAAAAATACAAAAAAACTGGCCGGGCACAGTGGCTCACGCCTGTAATCCTAGCACTCTGGGAGGCCGAGGCAGGTGGATCACCTGAGGTCAGGAGTTCAAGATCAGCCTGACCAACATGGTGAAACCCTGTCTTTAAAAAAAAAAAATTAAAAAAAAAGTACAAAAAAAGTAATTAGCTGGGTGTGGTGGTACATGCCTGTAATCCCAGCTATTTAGGAGGCTGACGCATGAGAATTGCTTGAACCCAGGATGTAGAAGCTGCAGTGAGCTGAGATCATGCCACTGAACTCCAGCCTGGTGACAAAGCAAGATACTATCTCAAAAAAAAAAAAAAAAAAAAAAAAAAACTCCCACTTTGGGAGGCCAAAGTGGGCAGATCACTAGAGGTCAGGAGTTTGAGAGCAACCTGGCCCACATGGTGAAACCCCATCTGCACTAAAAATACAAAACTTAGCCTAGCATGGTGGCACATGCCTGTAACCCCAGCTACTCGAGAGGCTGAGGCACGAGAATCACTTGAACCCAGGAGGCAGAGGTGGCAGTGAGCCAAAATTGCACCACTATACCACTCCAGCCTGGACACAGAGCAAGATCCCACCTCAACAACAAAAAAAAAAAATTAAAAAAGAAACCTGGGCTGATAACCACTTAGCTAGCTAAGTATTGCCTCTATAGCTTTAATGCGCTTGAAACATACTTGGAAACTGTGGCCCCACTTGCTGTAACGTAATTCTTCTAACTTAGAAAGGGGTCATGAAGGGTTTCTTTCTTTGTTGTTCTGAGATGGAGTCTCACTCTGTCGTGCAGGCTGGTGTCCAGTGGCATGATCTCAGCTCACTGCAACCTCCACCTCCCGGGTTCAGACAATTCTTTTGCCTCAGCCCTCTGAGTTGCTGGGATTATACAGGCATCTTCCACCACCTCCGGCTAATTGTGTGTGTGTTTGTGTGTGCGTATTTTTAGTAGACACAGGGTTTCACCATGTTGGCCGGGCTGGTCTCAAACTCCCGACCTCTAGTGACCACGCACCTCAGCCTCCCACAGTGCTGGGATTACAGGCATAAGCCGCTGTGCCCAACCATGAATGCGTAAACAAGTTCCCTATCAATGCTGATCTTGCTCTTCTTGGGCTCCTGATTAGCTTAGAGAAAGCAGGCATAGCATGGAGTCCCTTACACTCAGCACTCTTGTCACAATACAAACACTTCTAGGTCAAATGAAGACTACCATTTTTCATATCCTTTGTTGGCTCTTTAAAGTTTACAGGATAAACAGAAGGCAGCAATGTCTAAATAAGTCTGCATTTGAAAATCAACCTGCACATATGTACTAATAGGGTCTGGAGGAAGGAAACCTAAGACCATTTCACACCAAATTCCTATACCTAAATGGAGAGGAAAACTAACTTTCCACGCCTAAATAACAAAAAGACCAGAGGCTATTCCCTTTGCAAATTTCCACCTTTTCTGTTAGGAATACAGGAAATTGGCTGTCTAAAACCAATCAGACTGATTGTGGGCTGAGTCACCATTTGCATAAAAGTGCAACTTTGTAACTTCACCTTAGCTTCTGATTGGTTGCTTTCACAACTAATCGGATATTTGCATGAGTTTAACCTGTGTAACTTCACTTCAGCCTCTGATTGGCTGCTTTCTGGAACCAATCAGAGCATAGCATCAAGTGGCCAATGAGAAACGTCTAGGGGGTATTTGAATCCAGGAAGATTCTGTGTCTGGCCCTTAAACCATTGTTCAGGCCCACTTTCACATTGCGGAGTGTAATTTCATTTTTAATAAATCCCTGTTTTGTTCTTTTGTTGCTTCATTCTTTCTTTGCTTTGCTGTCTGTTTCATCTAATTCTTTGTTCAAAAGGCCCAGAACTTGGATAACTTGCAGTCAAGACCCTCTACTGGTAACATTTTAGTCAGCCAGGCAGGACAGAAGGTAGGTCCAAAGTTTGGGACTTATTTTATTCCTTTCCACTTTTACATACAGGGAAGTCTTTCTCTCTCTCGTTTCCTTTCTAACTTAGGATGGACAGAGCGTAAGAACGAAGACAACTGCAAGTTTCTGGCCAAGGTTACTTTTTGATGAAACTAAAAAGCTTCCATGTGGAAGTGTCTGACTACAACCTCAGTTTGGGTGAGGGACCTGAGTCCTTTTGTTTTTGTTTTTCTGAGTCCTACTGCTGTTGTCATTTTTCTGAGTCCTTTTCCTTTTCTCCTTTTTCAGCCTTCCAGCAGCCATTTTCTAGTAGCGAGTGAAACTGGCCAGAGCCACTCTCTGGTGTTCTCTGAAGGCCAAGGAGCACACAGGATTGGCTGTCCTGTCCAGAAGGGAGAAAGACTTTCTCAACTTTCCAGTTATACTTCCTGATCCCTACATGTTACACAGTTGGCAGTGGCAGCTCGACCAGGGTGAACCCACACATTTCAAGAGACTTAAACCTTCTTCTTATGCTAAAGTCTTCCCTTGCCCCACTCAACTGGCTATGGGCAAAAAAACCTACCAAGCTATGCAAAAAGATTATGTAGGTCAGAAGGTCCAGGCATGCTGCAGGTGGCCTTCAAGGTGCATGATGGAGAAGGAAGTGACTTATGAAAAAAAATGTATTATTGCCTAAGAGAGTTAAAGGGCTGCTTTAAGTGGGGTAAAATGTATAATGTTTTTTCTGCAATACTGCCTGGCCCTATTATGAGCTGCCCAGTTTAGAACAACGGGCAGTCAGTGGTAGCATTAATTATGACACTATCCTGCAATTAGGCCTATTTTGCAAGAGGCAGGGCCAATGGTCAGAAATCTCATATGTACAGCCCTTCATGACTCTATACTAAAACCCAACGATCTGTGAAACTCCCAAAACCCACACCTAAAGGCAAGTTCTAAAGCAGAAGTAGATATTATAGATGACCTTCTTTCACAGGCCTACATGGTTTTCAGGGTGAGCAGCGACCATCCTTATATAGCCCCTTTGCAAGTTCTCCTAAGGCTAAAACCCCGGAGCAAACACCAGGGACCCCACTAAGGTAACCTCATACTCAGAGGAAACACTGTATTGAACTCTCTCTCCAGCCTTGCTATCCCACAGGGTAGCAGGAGCTGTGGGGCCAGTCCCAATGCAGGTCCCCTTCTCTATAACTGACACAACACTGTACAAAGAAGCTAGAAAGCTATTCTGAGAATCTTAGAAAATTTGCAGATGTGTTTCAAACTGATCTCTCATGGAGAGATGTTCAATTTATTCTAGCAACCTGTTGCATCCCTTCAGAAAAGGGACATATCTTTGGAGGCCACCCCTAGAAAGTGGACAAATTATTCACCTGAAACCTTCAGGGCAATCACTCAGGCCCAGAAACAGTTCCCACTATTGGAACTATAACACCACTGTGGTAATAAACAACCAGGCAAAATTTCTTGAGGCTCTCCTTGGAGTAATAATGAAGGGAATAAATAAGACAGAAAATTATGATAAAGCGTGAATGGTTACACAAAGGAAGAAGAAAAATCCAGCCATGTTTTAAGGCAGGCTGGAAGAAGCCTTTACAAAAATATACTAATCTGCCAAGCGCGGTGGCTCATGCCTGTGATCCCAGCCTTTGGAGGCTGAGGCGAGTGGATCACGAGGTCAAGAGATCGAGACCATCCTGGGCAACATGGTGAAACCCAGTCTCTACTAAAAATACAAAAAAATTAGCTGGGCATGGTGGCGCATGCCTGTAATCCCAGCTACTCAGGAGGCTGAGGCAGGAGAATTGCCTGAACCCAGGAGGCAGAGGTTGCGGTGAGCCGAGATCACGCCACTGCACTCCAGCCTGGGTAACAAGAGCGAAACTCCATCTCAAAAAAAATAAATAAATAGAAACAAACAAATAAATAAAAATACACTAATCTAGTCTCATCCTCTTCTGAAGAAAAAATATTACTGGCAAAGCATCTTATTGGCCAATCTGCCCCAGGCATTAGATTTAAGCTGCACAAGCTACAGATCGAGCCACAGACTAATCAAAATCAGCTTCTTGATAACACCTTTATGAGTGTATAATGCTTGTAATTTGAAGGAAGAAAAAAGAAACAGAGTGAAGAAAAACGGCAAGCCAAATATATGGCAGCAGTCATTAGTGATGTGCTGAAAGCCCAAAGAGCATCTAAGAGAAATCTGAAGGGCCATAAAGATAAAGCAAGCGTAGGCTTTAGGTTCAAATGCAAGAAAAGTGGGTATTGGGCAAAGGGATGTACTATGCCCCTGCCAGGCCCCTGCCATCAACACAAAGTCACCAGTCATTACCCCTGGAGAATTAACTGCCCCATGCCACCAGGGGTAGGTCAGACAAAACTCCAGCAGTGCGAAAGGAGGAATTAGATGAAGACTGAAGGGACCCAGGGTCTTGCTCACTGCCCCTGTCCAGGAACATTGCAATTACAACTGAGGAGCCCTGGGTAACTCTGGATGTCATGGACACCCAAATTCAGTTTTTGTTTAATACAAGGGCAAATTACTCTGACCTTACTGCTTATGCAAAATCCTTTCCTCCTGGTCCATGAGTGTTACGGGAGGGAAAGCCACAAACAAAATTTTAAACTCCTCTTTTGATTTGTCAATTTGAGAAAAAAAAAATTCCAACAGTAATTTCTGAG